GAATCGAAATTTCTAACTCTGACAAATTGAAAGATCTGGAAAACCAAATCGTGCAGCAAGCTTCCCTGGAGCTGAACAACAGCTCTTCTCTTCAAAAATATTGATAAATTTAGAAAGAAAAAACATATAATGTCATCTTCAACATGAAAAGGCATCATCTAAAACTTAATATCTAGTCTTAACTTTAAAAAAAAAAGTCTAAAAACAAGAAGAGGTGAGTAAAATATGTAATTCTATTAAATTTTCAACTTAATAGAAAAATACTAAAAGCATTCATACTAAAGTCAGGGAGAAAAGTCCACTGTGACTGACATTAATTTATAGTATTCTAGGGATACTAGTCAATGACAGACAAGGTAAAGAAATACATAGTATAAGTTAGAAACAAAAAGGCAACATCATTCTTTACAAATGATATGATCATATAATCTAAAAAGCCGAGAACACAGAAAGATGCCCAAGTTTTAGGTTTTTTAATTATTATTTCAATAGATTTAGGGGGTACAAGTGTTTTTGTTACATGGATGCATTGTATAGTGGTGATGTCAGAGCTTTTAGTGTACCTGTCACCTGAATAGCGAACATTGTACCTGGAAGGTAATTTTTGATGCCTCACTCCCTCCCAACCTCCCCCCTTCTGAGTCTCCAAAGTCCATTATTCTACTCTGTATGTATGACCTTGCATACCCACCGTTCAGCTCCCACTTACAAGTGCATGAGGTATTTGTCTTTCCTTTACTGAGATACTTCACTTAGGATAATGACTTCCAGTTCCATCCAAGTTGCTGCAAAAGACATTTTTTCATTCTTTTCTATGGCTGAGTACTATCATATGGTTTATCTATACCACATTTTCTTTAGTCAGTCTTTGGTTGGTGGCCACTTTGGTTGGTTCCGTATCTTTGCATTTCTGATATGTGCTACCATAAACATACGAGTGCATGTATCTTTTTGGTACAATGATTTTTTTTCCCTTTGAGTAGATACCCAGTGGTGCGGTTACTGGATTGAATGGCAGGTGTACTTTTAGTTCTTTGAGGAAGCTCCGTGTTGTTTACCATAGAGGTTGTACTAGTTTGCATTCTCAGCAACAGTGTATAAGCATTCCCTTTCACCACATCTGCTCCAACAGCTATTGTTTTTTGACTTATCGATAATGGCCATTCTGACAGAGGTAAGGTGGTATCTCATTGTGGTTTTAATTTGCATTTCCCTGATAATTAGTGATGTTGAGCAATTTTTTCATGTTTTTTGGCCATTTGTCTATCTTCTTTTGAAAAGAATCTGTTCATCTCTTTTGCCCACTTTTTGATGGGGTTATTTGTTTTTATCTTGCTGATTTGAGTTCCTTATAGATTCTGGGTATTAGTCCTTTGTCAGATGTATAGTTTATGAATATTTTCTCCCATTCAGTAGGTTGTCTGTTCACTCTGTTGATTATTTCTTTTGCTGTGCAGAAACTTTTTAGTCTAATTAAGTCCCATGTATTTATTTTTGTTTTTGTTGTATTTGCTTTTGGGGTCTTAATCATAAATTCTTTGTTTAGGCCAATGTCCAAAAGAGTTTTTCCTGTGTTTTCTTCTAGAATTTTTATGGTGTCAGGTTTTACATTTCAGTCTTTAATCCAAGATGCCCAAGTTTTAATATAAGAAAATCAACACCCTTCCTGTCTATTAATAAAAA